AGGGCAATGCAGGAGTTCGAGAGGATGCTGAAGAGTGGTATCAGGTCTGGGAGCATTGCTAGGAGCATGTGGCTTGCACTCATGTCTAGAGCTCGGAGAGATTGCAGCAAATGGAATCTACACATTGGAGCACGACCATCCTGCATTATACTCCGTGCTTTCCAAAATCTATGGATACAAAGGAGTGTGCAGTGACATAACTGGTTTGGATAAGTTGATGAAGAAATGGGGTGCTACAAAGCAGAAGGCTAGTAGAATATGTGTCTACTATGAGGCAAGTGGTTTTCTACATAACACTTTCATTAAGAAACTATTAAAAATATATAGATCTTCTAAGTTTTTCCTTTTTAGCAACTTAATTTTTATGCCCAATAGAACATAAATTTTTAGAAACCAAATCATATGGGGTATAACATGTGGGTACTTGTGCCAAAAATATTTTCATTCACAATTTTTTATTAAATAGACTACAATAACAAAAATTAAATACTTGAAATAAATAAGAACAAAAATTAAATACAAATATGTTGAAGAGACAATTGGTGTAGAAACTTTTTTAGCAGACAACCATTAAATGAGGAAGTTCAAACACCCCAATATATATGAAGGTTAATGCAATTGATGCGTAATATTATATATGTAAATGTTGAAGTACCAGTTAGGAATATATAAATATTATTTTCCATTCTAAAAAATAATGTACTAGTGAAACTTTTATCAAATTTGACCATTTTTCTCTTATAAATATAACTTTTATTGTCAAGGTTTTTAAGTAAATTTAAAAGATTAGATATTCTATTTATATCTTTGTTTGAATTTGAATCATGATAGTGCATAGATACACTCACTTCATTAGTTGTTAATTTACATTATTTGATACTTATTAAAAAATTATTACTATATTTATATGTAATCAAGAGTGATTTATTATCAGTCATGAGGTGGATCAAAATTGCAACTTTTGGAAATATTTCTTCTTTTATTACTACTATATATAAGGAAGAATATGTAGTTTTGTAGTTTGCACATGAATTTTCTTGTCTTTTTTATTCAAATTGAAATTTGCAAGACCATGCATATTTGATAAATTTTAAGAACTTTTAAGGACTTTTTATATGCTACTAAAAATGATGTTGTCATGAAAAAGGTATTGATCCTACAAAGTATATTTGTATATTGAGATTACTTAACTTGTTACAAATAATATTTTACCTTAAGACATTATTGTAAGCATAAACTTAATGCACATTAGGATCTTATACAATATAATTTACTACGAGGCATTATAGAAACATACCTGAATACATTATCGTGGAAAGTGATTTCTACGATAACGTCTTTAGGTATGTTTCTATAACGCCTCTCAGTAAATTATTTTGTCTAAGATCCTGACATGCATTAGGTTTTTGCTTACAATAATATCTAAAGGTAAAATATTATTTGTAACAAGTTTAGTAATATTTTCATATAAAATAAAGACTTAATATACGAATGTACTTTGTAGGATCATTATTTCCTTTTTCATGACAACATAATTTCTAGTAGCATACAATTTCTTTTAAAGTTCTTAAAATTTATCAAATATTCAAGGTCTTACGAATTTCTTTTTGAATAAAAAGGACAAGAAAATTAATGTGTAGACTACAAAAGTGGATATTCTTCCTTGTATAAAATAGTAATAAGAGAAATTATTTCCAAAAGTAGCAATCCCGATTCACCTCATGCGTGATAATATATCACTTGTGATTATATAAATTTTTTTTATTGAGTATCAAACAATGTGACTTAGCAACTAATGAATTGAGTGTATCTAAATAGGATATCTAACCTTTTAAATTTACTTAAAAGCTTTGACCGCTAAAGTTATACTTAGAAAAGCAAAAATAGTCGAATTTTATTTTTTTACAATGGTAAAAAGATCAATTTTATCCTTCGTTATACTATTACTCTATCATTATCTAAATAATTCAAATATATTTCACCTCTGTTAATTTTTTATTTATTTTTGGTTAAAATGACAGAAATATTTGTGGAAAGAGGCCATGCTTTGTATAGCAGGATAAGTTGAAGTCTCAACCATTGAATGGCTTAATAAGTAGCTATCACAAATAGGTAGTTTCCTATTGTACATAGTTCCACACATGTTGCTTTGGCTGCATATATTGGCGGAACTATCAAAATAGTAGGGGTTACAAAAGATTGGTAATTCACTCCTTTTGCTCAATAGATCAGTCACTCAATTCTGCTCTCTAATGACGTGGGTTGGTGCCGATGCTCTTAATTGAATTTGAGATCTGCACTCCACAAGAATGTTAGAAGAATGCATATTATCATGATTTTGCATATTTATGACTTCTAGAGAGTCGAGATTTGTTTCAAGGGGGGGGGGGGGGAGAGAGAGAGATTGTACTTAATAGCTAGCATGAGCCTTGTAGGGCTTTGAGCTCTTCCATTATGGAATTCATGTGAGGGGCCATTGAATCCAGGGTCCAATCCCCTCTATGGTTTCTAATAATACCTCTGATTCCGCCAATACCAAGGCTGAACATGACAGAACCATCAGTGTTAAGCATGTAAGTCTCAAGAGGAGCGGAGTTCCATTTGACAAGGATTGTATATGGTTGTCCTTTAGGGATGGGAGTTTGGTCGATGAGAAGGTGGTACTCAGTAACTTGGAAGAGTGCTAGGTTGAATGAGGTGTTCCTTTTCCTTTCGTTTAAAAAGTTGTTATTCCTTTAAAACCAAATGTTCCAAAAAAAACAAAAGAGAAGCATGAAGTTCCAAGAGAGCATAACATTATAGGGTTTCCCTCTAAAGAGGATTTCAAAGATTCTTCCAATTTCAATGGAAAGGTTGAACATATGAAAAATGCAAGCATGAGTGTTGTTGCAGGTAACCTTAGCTCAGAAGTCAGAGGGATTTGCACACTTAAAGAAGATATGAGTAATGTCTAAGTGACAATATTGGTCAACATTAATGCCTAGTCTATGGAGGTATTTAGCTGTAGGATGTCTGGTATGGTTCATGAGCCAGAGGAAGTTCTTGATCTTGTTAGGGCGTTAGATTCTCTAGATCCATTTAAAGTTGTGTGTGTTGCTGACTTGATGTCCTTCGACAATATTGATGTGGATAAAGATATATGCACTGTTAGTAGATAACCTTCCATTTGTTGTGAGACCCCAAACTAGCTGGTTTTCTTTAGTTTTATTGGGGTGGAGGTGGCGAGTGTTGACAATCCAAGCTATAAGGTGGTCAGGAAGGGATATGGATAACCCAGAGAGGTTCCAGAGTCCATTTCTATTAAAGTCACTTATCTTAAGGATATCTTCCTCCCTTAGTAGGGGACCCCGAATCATACTTCTAATAGTGCTCTATTGGGGGAGTTTGGATGTCATTAAAGAAGTTGACTCTAATTCTCTTATGGGCCACCCATCTGTGACCATCTTTCCTATCCCTCCATCCATCCAAGAGAGACCCCCCATGTTTTGGAGACATGCTTAACTCTCCAATTGGGTTTAGGCTTAGAGTATTTATTGATAAGAATAGTACTCCACATGTTTTCATGATTGTGGTAGATACTCTAGTAGAGGTTGATATGAAGAATCTCTATTCTTGATATCTCTTTTTTGGATACCTTCTTTTTCTTTAGAGCTTGTAAGCATGTTTAGTTTACTATGTAAAGCTTTTCTCTTTTCTTTTCAGCAGTAGTACCTCAAATAAAGTTCCTTTGGTTTCTATATTTAGAGTTGTGGACTTTTGCAGGGATTTTGATGTACTACATAATGTGAAAGGGGATGCTTCCTAGAGAAGCCCTAGCTAGCATGGTTCTGCCAGCCATGTTGAAGAACTTCATCTTCTAACCAGAAAGCTTGTTGTTCATGCTGTCAATAATTGGTTGGAAGTCACTGTTGTCAAGCTTCTTTTGGAAATATTTTTTCTTTTATTACTACTATATACAAGGAAGGATATTCAATTTTGTAGTCCGCACATGAATTTTCTTGTAAAACCTCGCATATTTGATATATTTTAAGAACTTTAAAAACTTTTTATATGCTACTAAAAATGATGTTGTCATGAAAAATATATTAATGATCCTACAAAGTAGAAAAATTTTACTATGGGTGAGGCCCAACCAACCAAAGTTGGAAGAGGCTCCACCCATTTTTTGACATGTGGATCGTGGGGCCCAAACTATTAGTTAAGGCTAAAAAATGAAACCAAAAGGAGAGAGAATGTAAAGTTTGATTTTTTTACATTCTCTCTCCTTTTGGTTTCATTTTTTAGCCTTAACTAATAGTTTGGGCCCCACGATCCACATGTCAAAAAATGGGTGGAGCCTCTTCCAACTTTGGTTGGTTGGGCCTCACCCATAGTAAAATTTTTCATGCTCCGCTATGTCATTTTGACACTTTTTTCACAATTTTGTGTTGACCCTACGCGTGTGTTGACCAAACATATCCACATGGGTTAAATGGCCAATTATGTCATGCTAGCTCATTTTAAAGCCATGTCATTATACACACAAAAATAAATTAAAGAAAAAAATAATTAACGGTCAAATAAAAAGGGTTTTGACCAATTAAAAACAAATTATTTTGAAGATTTCCCCTCTCACCCCGATCATCTTCTCCATCAAGTAACACTTGTTCGTCCTCACTGTTTAAGTGTCTTTATTTTTCATTTTTGGCTTGTCCCAAGTGGCTCTTTCTATATTTAATAAGTCGTCAATTCAAATATTTTATATAACAAATTTAAAATCACAAGATCAAAATTACAACACATTTTAGAAAGACACTCATTTTGTAACATCTTTAATATACATGACCATACAATTCAAATATCTATTTTTATTCCTTAAATTTTATGTCCAATTAAAATGAAAACATTTTATTAGGACGGAGGATAACATAAAATAACAATTTCCTAGCTACAAGCTCGATATAAGAAACAAAAAAATAGAATAATAACCTACACTAATAAGATAAATTGTACCAATAATATGAAAAACTCAAGTTCTAAGTTTTAATTTATAATCCTCGAACTTTTAATCGTGGCTAATGTGAATTATTTCTATTTTATAGTAGAGTGGTAAGTGACAAACAAAATATAAGATAGCGGCTGCAAGAGTCAAATGCCGGCGCTGTGCACCTTTGCTCTACGCCGCCAAATTTCTACCCTCTCAACGGTTAACTTGAACAAAACGATCAACAGCTTCATTGGTAACGGAAACCTCCAAGAAGCTCGGAAGCTCTTCGATCAAAGCCCCCACTTGACAAATGTCGTATCATGGAATTCCCTTATCGCTGGTTACTTCAAACACAATCTCATCCAACAAGCAGAGTACCTGTTTGACAAAATGCCTCACAGAGATGTCGTTTCTTGGAACACCATGCTCTCCGGATATCGCAACGCCAACAACCCAGAGAAAGTATATAGATGTTTTCTAGATATGAACAGATGTGGAGACATGAGACCCAATGAGCTCACTTTCGCGGTGTCAATTAGCTCCTTCTTACATTTGTATTACAAGCATTTGATCCCTCAACTTCACGGTATCGTGCTCTGTTTGGGGATAAGTCTCAATGTCTTTGTAGGGTCAGCATTGATGAGGGGTTATGTTGATTTGGATGATTACAGAGGTTTAGCTCGAGTTTTTGATGAGATTTTGGATAAAGATGTTACGCCGTGGAATGTGTTGATTTTGGGTTATATGAAATTTGGGTGCACAAGTGAGGCGCAGAGGGCTTTTGATATGATGCCTATGAGAAATTATTTTACTTGGAGTACTTTGATCAATGGATATATTGAGAACAAGAAGCTTAATGAAGCTCGATTCGTTTTTGATAAGATGAGTGAGAAAGATGTGGTTTCTTGGACAGCAATGATAAGAGGGTACGTGCAATATGGAGAGTTTATGAAGGCTTTGAAATTATTTAAGTTGATGTTGAACTCGGGTTCTCGTCCTAATCATTTTACGTTTTCAACTGTTTTAGATGCCTGTGCAGGCTACTCTGCTGTTCTGGTAGGCAATCAAGTTCATGCGTGCATCTTGAAGTCTGGTTTCCCTCTTGATGTCGTCTTGTTGACCTCCCTTCTTGACATGTACGCTAAATGTGGAGACATTGAAGTTGCTTTCTGCATTTTTGAGTCTATCCCGGCAAGGAATTTGGTAGCTTGGAATTCGATCATTGGAGGTTATGCAAGACATGGGCTTGCAGAGAGGGCAATGCAGGAGTTTGAGAGGATGCTAAAGAGTGGTATCAGGCCTGATGAAATTACTTTTATTAATTTGGTATATGCATGTGGCCATGGTGGGCTAGTCGAGGACGGTGAGAGAATTTTCAATTCTATGGTAACAGAGTACGGATTGAAAGCAGAGATGGAACACTATGCATGTATGGTGGACTTGTATGGAAGGGCAGGTCAGCTTGAGAAAGCAGAAAAACTAATCGATGGGATGCCTTTTAAGCCTGATGTGGTCGTCTGGGGGGCATTGCTAGGAGCATGTGGCTTGCACTCATGTCTAGAGCTCGGAGAGATTGCAGCAAATGGAATCTACACATTGGAACACGACCATCCTGCAGTATACTCGGTGCTTTCCAAAATCTATGGAGACAAAGGAGTCTGCAGTGACATAACTGGTTTGGATAAGTTGATGAAGAAATGGCGTGCTACAAAGCAGAAGGCTGGTAGTTGGATCGAATCTCCTTCCATAAACTGAAATGTTTGTCTACTATGAGGCAAGTAACTTTCTACACAATGTTTCCATTAAGAAACTAACGTCCAATTCTGGCAAACCGACACAAATGATCAGTAAGTATTAAGTGGTAGCGTATGTTCAGTGTCTCAATATTCCTCTGTACTCAAGAGTTACGTTTAAGACATAATGTTCTCAAATTCCAGTTCTCCAAAACTCAAAAATGCAATGAGCCTTGTCGTCGTCTTCTTCTTCTTCTTCTTCTTCTTTTATCATAATATTTCGCAAGTTATTCTGTAAGTCGTAACTATGCTATACTTAGCAACATAGATTTGTACGAAAGAAGAAGAAGACATAAATTGTGTAGCATTTCAAAATTTATTATAATGTTCATAAACTGAAGTTATGTTTTTTAGGACATGTATTTTTTTAGAAAAAAAGTTACATGAATAAACATGGAATTGCACAAATTTCCTTTAAAATGTATGGATCTTTAAGTTTTTGGTTTTTAGCAACTAAATTTTTATGCCCAATAGAACATAAATTTTTAGAAACCAAATCATGTGAGTACTTATGCCAAAAATATTTTCATTCACAATTTTTTATTAAATAGACTACAAAAACAAAAATTAAATACAAATCTGTTGAAGAGACAATTGGTGCAGAAACTTATTTAGGAGAATGCACAACCATTGATTGAGATAAATATTGCCATCTCAATGTCCCAATCCATTTTAGCCTCCTCTCCACTTGTTCTGCCGCCATTAGTATTTCTTTTCTTTTCATCCTTGCGCTGAAATGAGATAAATATTATTTAACTAGATGAAAAACTAACTAGTGGTGGAGCAACAAGTAAAAGGAAGAGGTAAAGTGTGTTAGGATACTGAGGTGGGATGTCATGTGGTGTTCATCTCATCAAAATTTAGTGTTAGATAAAATTATGCATTCACTTTGGACAACCCTAGTAAACAAGAGGTTTATATAAATTATTTAAATAACAATTGTTATGATTTCAATGAGATCCAGAAATTCAATTGCAGAAAAGATTTTTTTTTCCTTCATATTTAGGGATTATTTTCTGATTTATAAATACTAAAATGAGTATCGATTACAAGAAAAAAAAAACTACAATGAACTAAGCTAATTAAACTAAGCAAAATTCCATAACCAACAAATCTATAGAGGAGATGAGATGAGTCAAAATTTAGGAAGTTGTTGTATTCTGCTCTTTGTCTGATGTTTTAAATCTTCTGATTTTCAGGAAATGGTGCTTTCTTCCAAGGTTCATATCCAAGTATTTGTGTCAGTACCGCTGTTGAAAATTTCGAGCAGGAGAAGCAGTCTTCCAATGAATTCCTTCTTGATGAATGCCTCGTTGAGGTATTCAAATGTCTTTCCAGTGGCCAAGAGAGAAGTGCTTGTGCTTGTATTTCCAAGCGTTGGCTTATGCTTTTAAGCAGCATCCGCAGGGATGAAGCATTTGCCTTCAAGCCCAATCTGAATGCTGAAGAGGAATCTACTCAGCGTACCCAAGTTAAAATTGGTGAGATTGCAGAATCTGCTGGTGTAGAAGGTGAGGGATATCTTGCCAGGTCCCTTGCTGGCAGGAAGCCACAGATGTCAGACTTGCTGCTATTGCCATTGGAACTGCAAACCTTGGAGGCTTAGTAAAGCTATCTATCTAGGGAGACAACCTTTGTCGTGGTGTGACTGATACTGGTCTCAACGCTATCGCTCGAGGTTGCCCTACTCTCAAACATCTTTTCCTATGGGATTTGTCTTCTGTTGGTGATGAAGGCTTATCTGAGGTTGCTCATGAGTGTCATCTGTTAGAGAAGCTTGATCTTTTCCAATGCCCAACAATTACTGACAAGTCTTTACTCGAAATTGCGGTGAACTGCCCCAAAATGACCTCTATAACAATGGATTCTTGTTCAAACATTGGGAATGAGTCTCTCAAAGCTGTCGGTCAATATTGCCTGAACCTGAAGCTTGTTGTATTTAGAAATTGCCCACTCTAGAATGAAGCTGTTATCAAGATGTTTGCCATACTTCTCTGAGAATGCACATCCTGGATTTTTTTGGTCCTGGCTCCTTTGCCAGTAGTTTTTAGCTTCTAGCACTGCATTGCTGAGAAAATTGTGCTACAATAAAAACTTTTTTCACCATCTCTTATGTTCCTGTTTAGTTTGGAGTGAATTTATTTGAAGGTTTTTTTTTTGGGTTGGCCCTTCTCCTGTATCTGCAATATGGAGACACTGTATGAAGGCTTTGAAATTGCTTAAGTTGATGTTCATTTTACGTTTTCAACTGTTTGTCTTTTAGATGCCTGTGCAGGCTACTCTATTGTTGCATATGGAGAATGTGCTAAGTGAATTGTGATGATCCATATCTTCAGAGATACCTTATGGTGCTATCTTCTGTCGTGTTTAAGTTATATACATCGTCAGTGATCTCACTTTGTTACCAAAACAAGCTTGCAACTTTACATAACTTTATAGTTTTGCAACTTCACTTTGATTTCGCAATTGTAAACATTCACATTCTCATTTTGTTATCTTTAGGTTTTGCATTGTACTAAGATAAGTTATTAGATGTATATACTTATATTGAGAAAAAGAGAAAACATTGATGAATGAACAAAGAAAACAACATCAGTTAATTAATCTGTATATAAGTCATTTTTGACACAATATAATACATGATTTATTGATCTTCTAGTCACTATTAGAAGGTGACAATACATTTACCATATCTTGCATAACCTTAACTCTCATTTCTAAAGCCAAAATGTAATCAGCTGTCTCTCTGAAAATCCCTTCCAACCCCAAATCCTCACAGTTAATTGGAATCAACTTCTTAAGTACCCTGACTTTCCTTCCAATCTCATCCTCGAACCTTCTAGAACGTTCTACGCGTACCCTTCTCTTCATCACAACACTTTTACACCTTTTGACATGCCTTACGTTATAAGTCGTGACTCTTTGTCTCCTTATGTGGCGTTGACCTCTTAAAAAAGAATCGCTTAAATCACACTTTCCCTTGTTAGGAGTATGAGAAAAAATACCCATAAGAAATTATGTATATATGTTGAATCTTTTTAAGATAGCTCTTTTGACAATTTTTTTTGACAAAGGGAATGAGTGTTTTTAGAAGCAAAATGTATGGCTATATATATAAGTTATAATATATGATGATTCATTAGGCCAATTATAGGATAATACATTAATGTATTCCAAAAGAATGGGATCAAATAATTCAATGAATGAAAAGAAGCCAAGTGTACATTATATTAATTTGTGGTTAGTAAGTTATATGAATGCATGTTATCCAGCTAAGTAGTGCACATGAATCCACATGATGATTTTCTTCACCGCCCCAACTATATATATATATATATATGGCTTAAATTAAAGAGCACCACATTTTAGTTTCATTCATATAGGTCCATATTACAACACACACGCATGCATGATTTTAATGAAAAACACCCTGGATTATTCCTTTACCCCCTTTTTCCAAATTCAATGCATGCCTAATGTGAATATGAGTCGCGGGAGATGGATTCGAGATTTAAATTCTAGGCATTTGATAATTTCGAGAGATGTTTTGAATGTGGTGAATAGACTTAATCTGTGATTGCTAGAGTGACATGAGTTTAATGATGGTGAAATAATGATATTTTATAAGAGAGGACAAAGATCGATTCCCTCTACCAAACACCTTCTCAGTCCAGCTTGTTATATCGAACTTGCCTAATGCAGTTTACATCTCTAGTATAATTTATAAGCTATTGCACAAGAGCGAATTTATACTATGCGCACACCTAAAAAATAGCAGTTGAGAGTTTACAGAGGGAAGTCTAAAAAGAAAAAGTTGAGATATATTACGAATACAAATTTAGAATTCATAAACTTCAAATTCTAAATCGGACGAAAATGTGAATGTGACTCTATTACAGCTCGATAGACTTTTTTTAGGCTGCTAATAGCTAATTACTTCATGTTCCCCAACAGGAGTCTCCTTAATTTAAGCAATCTTCTAATCATATTTTCTCATGCTTTTGTCTATACAAAGTGAGACCTCATTATCTTCCATGTTGGAAATTGGGATAAGATCACATTCTCTAATTACATCCCTTTAATTTTTGTAATCATATAATTAGAAAAAAAATCAACAAAATTAATGATTCTTTAAAAATCTGGTTCAACAAATGCCACGGATGCATATAATAAAATTTCTTTTGTGTATTAATTAAAATCGAAATGGTGGTATGTATAATATATTACTTGGTTGTAAATTATCACCTCCTATCAAGAACATGGATGCACATGAAACTTGTTAAGAAGTAATGGTGGGTACAAGGAAGTAGGGACGAATCTATAATATATATTCCGTATTAGATATGAGTTCAGGTGAACTCAATAACTTTAGCTGAAAAGTTGATTATTTTAATTTGTTACTTATACTAGAATAACAAACTTAGTCATTAAGACAAGATATAAATTTGACGATGAATTTAGACTTCATAAACTTTAGATTTTGGCTTCGCTACGAAGAAATAAATACGAGTAGTAGTAATTGTTATTATGCAAGTGTCATATATAGAAGGAATGGTGTGGGAGGGGGGTTATCGTGGAACAATATAGAATCGTAGAATTAGTAAGGTATTGTCTTTGATTTGGGACCCAAAATAACAGCTCTTTTTTGCTTTATATTTATTTGTATAGGGCAGCAACATATACACATTGATTAATTGGAACCATGAATTCCAAAAAAAGTGTTACTGGTTTGTTGCTATTGGGTTAACGATTTATTAATAGTTTTATACAAAATAATTATCGGATTATTAGTTCGGTATTGGTTTTTAATATTGAGTTATTGGGTAAACCGATAACCTATTAAGACTATTGTAGTTTACTACTTTTACTTGTACATAAATATTAAATATTAATCACAATACCTTATTAGTTACTGTCTTTGTCCTTTAGCGTTCAATTCACACTTCACTGTGACTTTGAATTTACAAGTTCACATTATACAATACGTCAAAACCTAAAGTAAGAACCTTATTCCTGGTCACTGGTTCAGTTTAAAGTGAAAGTAGAAAGGACATTCACACCCAACAAAGGAATATATATTTTATATACTAATTTACACTGGAAAAATGTTATATTCCCCTGTCAAATTATACAGAAACGACTACAATGTTAGTTGCTGTAAATTAGAAATTTGTCCAAACCTTGTGGCACGCAAGTGACTTGTATCATCTTGAAGAACAAGCACTTCAAGTGTACCTGATTCTCTCAACCAGGCAGTTACCACAGCTCCAGTGGATATGAACCTCCCAATGTTGCACTTTGCTACCTGGAATGGTGCACCTATGCTGGTGAGCAAACCTTCAATGGCTCGTTTCAAGGCGCCATCACCTGTTATCTTGCTGTGCTTGCCCCAGCCAGTCAAAATGCTGCAGAGGACAGTTGAACATTTCATTCATCATATATTATTCTTGTGGTTGTTCGACTTTGAAAATATATAAGAGAATTAGAGGAAATACCTCAACATCTTTGGTAGCTCATGGCCTTCAAACACTATAGACCGTATACTAAGCAACCATGCGTGGACCATTGCACATGCAGCCCCTGAAGACATCAAATGCAGATCCAAGCAAGAAGTGGACCATGTATTTTCCCACACTTCCGAACGTTTTCCTTCAAGTACAACCAATTGAGCACCTTGTTTCTGGAAAAAAGTTAGATAAGACACCAAATATGAGTCGGTGGTATTTATGGCAATGCAAAGGCGATATTAGTTTTCTTCTCTTTGATAAAGAAATTTACTCTACGTTTTCTTCTCTTTGATAGTTGTTATGTAACTGCAGTTTTACCTGGTCAAAATGCCACAGCATGTCAGTCAAAGCATTGTAAAAGGCAGATGCAGTTGAAGAGTCCATCTGCTTCACTTCATTGAAAAGAGATAGAGCTTGTGCCCATACACCTTCCCTCTGCCCCATGAGAAGTCCATGTGCCACCCCATAAACTTGATTATCAAATATACGAAGTTCTTCGAGTAAGAGTGAAGCTTCATCAAATGAACTGCATCGGCTGCAATTATATTTGAATCACACATCATATCAACTCAAATAGTCAAATCATTCAGTTGTATCATAACATTTGAATCAATCAAGTGCATTGGGATTCCACAAAGATGTTAAATGTCTTAAGAAGCAATTCTTCCGAGCACTCCTTCAAAAGGTTCATCAAGACAAAGTGAAATGCTACTCACCAAAAAATCATATCTTTTTGTCCTCTTTCGCACTCTCGCCCACTTCTAATTCTACTAAGGAAATTGTGCCGAATTGACAATATATTTCTTTTGATACAACACAATTCTTTGTTCATTCTCCAGATTCATTCCAAAGGTGTTACCCACTTTGAAGAATATATTTGGGGTGTGTTTGGTAGGGAAGGAAATTAGTTCCCAGTAAATATTTCCTGGAAAATGTAAGAAACTGTCTCACTATCCAACAATCTCTAAGATTCAAAAACTATTTCAAACAGTCTATCGAGAAAAACATAAGCAAAGAAAGACATTTTCCCCCTTGTAATGGAAAATATGTCCTGGGGTTTGGTGACCAAAAAAAATGACTTATTTTCTAGAAAAATATTCTCCTTCTTATCAAACACCCTTGATCCAAAGTAATTTAGAAGTGGAAAAAAGAAACTCCTTAGATTGGGTGTTCTTAATGTGGCAGTGGGTCCACTTTAATGACAACTCAAACTACTCCCACAACCTGCCGCTGAAGTCCTCAAAGCACTTCAGATAATAAAAGAAACTATAGTAAGTAGTCTCCAAGGCCAAAATTCTCTCTCTCTCACCTCTATCTCTCCCCGCCTCTCTTGTGAACTTCTAAGCAAGGTCATATGAGCTATTGTCTATGGAGCTCTACACATGTTTGAATAATCCAGCATAAAATAAAGTTTCATTCATTAGAGTGAGAAGAGTATTTCTGTCTCAGTGGAAAACTCAGAAGTTTCTTCTGCTTTATTTATTTTTAAACGACAGTGGTGTCCAACCACCTTGTGCGCATCTCAACTATTCCACAGGTAACTCTGCCCACCAAGGCTTACAAAAAGTTAATTCTGCTTTATTGTTTTCATATATACAATAATCTTAAAAGTCTGTAGCTGCATTTCACCAGAAAACAAGAAGCA